TAGTATTTTCAGACAAATTTTCTCTGCTTCTGAAATTCATATTGCACAAGCATGTTTCAATTTCTGCGCAGAAATTTACTGAGTGTAAGGGGCGTATCTTTGATGTGACATCATCTTACACGTTGTTCGGATGTCACGTGACCTCCCTGCGCGTTTGGGGATTTAGCGCTGACCGTCTGCGTAAAGTAAGTTCATGTGTTTGGGTAAGAGACCGTATTCGAAACTCAAAGTGAGAACTATTCAAGTGTTTATCTAAGGTCAAATTCTTATTCATATTTTATTTGAGTTTCCTTCAGACTTTACATAAAATTTAAGAACTTTCCTGTTACCCCATGTTTGTTAAATACATTTCAAAGCTGGCAATCTCAGTTTTTTTTATGTTAATAAAAATTTCACCAAAATAACGTTACCCAGAGAAGCATTTCCCACAACAAATATTCTTGAATTTAATTTTTTTTTTCAGCGAATGCTAAATGTGAAACGAAAATCTTTTATTTCTTTTTGAATGGCAGTAGTTTTTTATTATTGAGCTTGTCATTTACATCAAGGTTTTCAGATAGCTGATGGCTCTACGGTGAACTTCTAGTGAAAGAATGAAATGTTAAGGAATATGGCCAGTCTTTTAATATATGTCGACAATTTTTCATGCAGTGTAAAGAAGAAGAAAAAAAGCAGTGCCACTCACATAATCTAAACAACCATTTGTACGATATATGTGCCAAGAATGTGGTAGTTTGAAGGAAGCTTAATTTTCATGTGTCAGTCAGTATTCTTTTAAAATCTATAGAAATAAATACAGTAGTAATAATTATATATTTTTGTAGGAAACCAACATGTATGTGATACCTGTAACAGAGGACTTGCACTGAAAAAGCAATTGTACATACACACCAAAAAGGAATATAATGTAAAATTTGTTGCAATCATTTACCTGTACATAAAACTAGGATTTAGGGAGGCATGCTTGCTTACAAAGGAGAAAAACCTGATAAATTTGACCATTCAGTTGAAGAAAATTCTTTGCAAACTCAATTACTTAGTCGTACTGCAGGGAAGCCTTATGTGTGTGATACATGTGACAAATCATTCAGCTCAAAGTATAGTTTAGCCAGACATATACATATCCACACAGGAGAAAACTGTCATGGGTGTGATATGTGTAACAAGTCATTTTCCCAAAAGATTGATTTAACAGCACATAAGCTTATCCATACAGGAAAGAAATCAAATGTATGCAATGTATGTAATAAGTCATTTTTACGAAAATACGATTTAGTGACACATATACGTATTCACACTGGAGAAAAGCCTTATGCGTGTGATGTATGTAGTAAGTCATTTGCACGAAAGCAGGATTTAGTGGGACATATGCATTTTCATACAGGAAAGAGACCTAATGTGTGTGATATATGTAACAAATCATTTGCACTGAAGTCAGTTTTAGTGAAACATATGTATTTTCACTTGGGAGAAAGACCTCATGTATGTGATATTTGTAACAAATCATTTGCACTAAAGTGTAATTTGACAGTGCATATGCGTATTCATACAGGAGAAAAACCTCATAAATGTGGTATTTGTAATAGCTTATTCACAAATAGGACTAATTTAGTTGCTCATAAGCTTATGCACACAGGAGAAAAACCACATGTGTGTGATATATGTAATAAATCGTTCACTCAGAAGGCAGATTTACTGATACATATGCGTGTTCACACAGGAGAGAAACCTTATGCATGTGATAAGTGTAATAAATCATTTTCAGTAAAGTCCAACTTGGTGAGACACAAGCGGATTCATATGGGAGAGAAATCTAGGAAGTGATATATGTAACAAGTTATTCATTCAAAAGATCTAATTAGAAATGTGGTGTATGTGCAAGAAAGAAATCTAATTTATGTCATATAAGTAGCAAAGCATGTATTTAAAAGTATGAGCTAGTGGTACATATGTGTCTTCAGTTGGGAGAGAGTGTGTGATTTATGTGGTAATTCACTTGTACATGTCATTCGTTCATAAAACAGACTGCATTGCATATATATAATGGAGCAAAACTTCATGTATGTGATGCATACAACAGCTCATCATGCTAAAGGCTAACTTACAGATCAAAACAAAGATCCACACAGAAGACAAACCTCATGTGTACAATTGTTGTAACACATTATTTGTGTAAGGGTTATTTTTTAAGTAAGGTCTGTTGGTAAAAATATATTTACAAGTGCCCTTTGGCGAAAATTGACAATTTTTGGTGGTACATGGACACCGAGTTTGACCAGTTATTTTGGCTTTGTGTAGCGGCAATTTGTATGCCTAAAATTGCCGCTACACAAAGCCAAAATAACAAGTCAAAGAATGCACAGCAACCTATTTTGACTTAACAAAACATCAGCGAATTGCACAAACTCGGCATTGTGCACTTCTACGACTTTGTCCATATACACATCGATCTATTTTCACCTAAAAAGGTCAAAGGAGCACCCAATTCTATACTAGAGCCAAATAAAAAATATATAATCTCAATAAACTACATTTTAAATTAAATAGCTTAAAAAAGAAAATTAATTTTATAGCATCTAAGCACTACACAAAGGACATATCCACTTACCTTATTTAGAAATTTCTTTGTCTTCAGTCTGTGGCACACGAAATTCCTTAAGCGCATCCAAAAACTTTTAACTTCAAACCGTGTTCTTTTTCTAATGGAACACTTTATATGGTGAACATTTGAACCTTTCTTTTATGAAATCTATTGAATGACTTATGTCAAATACGTATTCTTCATACAACAGGACACTTATTTCGTGAATTAATCCAAGTTCTTTTTTCTGTCCTAACTACTAAAAAGAAACGCCTTTGCTCTCTCATTCTCACCCTAATACACACTTACCACTGGCAGCCATTTTACAATGCATAGCACACAATACACAACGGACTTCCTAACTGACATTAACAAATATTTTCCCATCAGTCAAATTCACCACAATCACGTCATAATAGGGTTTCTATAACATTTAACTACTCCGGTTAGTATAAATTACTCAGGTTATATAAAACAACTTTGCGATAAACACTTTCCAATGGGCACCCTTAAATATAGGCTAACCATTCCATTTTTCAGTAAAAAAAATACTATAAATATATCATCACAATATGTTTTTTCCATATTCTATATACTTTGACCTACTTTTCTACATAATTTCCATTTCTGTTTAAACATTTGTCATACTGTTCAACAAGTTTTTGAATTCTGATGTCAAAGAAATCTGCCACCTAATTTAGCCTAATTCATGACTGTTGTTTTCACTTTGTCGTCGTTGAACTGTTGACCACCAAGAAACTCTTTTAAGGATGATCCAATTGCTCCTGTTCAAATGACCTGATTAGACCTTGTGTTTTTGCCAAAATATGTGGCCTTGGATTGTCATAGAGCAACATCACACCAGAAGATAGTAGGCCACACTACTTGTTTTGTATGGCATGCCAGAGTTTTCTCAAGCTGACACAATGCACATCAGAATTATTGTTATGCCTCTCCGCATAAAATCCAATAATAAAATTCCTTTTCGGAACTACTCCATATGCATCCTCAAGTTGTCAAATTTCTCGTCAAACATTTTTGGTGAGAAACTCCACGGTGCCATATTACTATCTAAATTTGTTGTCTATATTTCAAACTTTAAGCCTAAAATGTCTCCAGAAACACGGTTTTCTCACATGCAAAAGATACGTTATGAACACACAATTTAAGCTAAAAATCCGAAACAAAAACAAAAAATTTAGATAGCAAAAGCGTAAAGTTTCTAACCAAAAATACTTGACAAGAATCCGTAACAGCGATATTTTTACTTAAAAAAACATTACGATGCACAATCTAAGCAGTGAAAGAATCTACGAACTACGCAACCTTGCTTTAATAAATTAACATAACAACAATAAATTTCAAGAGTACCGTGTACACAGCGTTCAGTTTAAAGTTTAAAAAATATCTACGAATTGCATAATCTAGGCATTGCGCATTAATCAATAAATTTACTAAAATAACTAAAATAAACTTCAAACAATTTAAAAAAACAACAATAGCGACAGAAATTCATACTAAAAAAACAATGAAACCGTCATTCTACAAAATAGAACAGGAATATATCAAATGCACTTACATGAATGCTTTTTTGAACAGCAGAAATACCAATTTCATGCCGCCACGTAATCACTATTGTATTTGTATGACAGCCAACACACACAATCTAGAAAATACATACTCTGTTCACAAATAAAGTTCAAAACCGGCTTTTCAAATCCTTGTAAGATTTCCAGCCACCAAAAAAATAGTTGAATGGCTCAATCCATCTTTAAACACGCAATAGCGTTTCTTGCTTGTATTATTCACAGCCACTAAAAATAATCTCCCAGACCCTTTTGCAACCACGTCTCTCATTGCAACATACGCCGGCTAATCTTTCGAATATGGTAACAGGTAGTTTGGCAACATTTTGGTAAGGCGATAAAGGTACTAGGTAGGACTTTAGCAATAATATGAGAAGTACACAGTTCTAATCACAGATTATTTTGTCTCAGAGAAATGAGAGATCATGAGACATGTTATGTGACATTTTCCGGAAATTCCGATCGTGATTTTGGCTAATAAGCACTTGGAAACAATTTCGCTGCTAAAGTGCAGAATCACCCTTGTTTGACGCTTTTTACTAGAGTAAGAAAAATTGGATTTTTGTGAATTTTCTTTGACTTTTTAAGTGAAAATGGGTCGATGTGTACATGGATGAAGTTGAGTGTGCGCAATGCCATTTTTGTGCAATTCTGGGATATTTTTCTTTTAAGGGAAAATAGGTCGACGTGTATATGGATACCGCGTATGTGCAATTCTTAAAAACGCGCAAAGCAGTGCACAATTCTGCAATTTCTCCCAATTTCGCACCTAATCTTCGTCATGATTAAGCACTTTTGTTCCAGAAAAGTTCTAGCATAAGCATAATCCGGCTAGCAGCAGATTGTTGGAAAAAATGTTGAGTAAAAAAAAAAAAAAAAAAAAACTAGCAGGTTGCTGTAGCAGGGTTGGTCACCAAAAAATCGCCAAATTACCATAATCCCAAGATTCACCTATACGCCATTTCGAAACATGCACGACATGAACCAATTCACCAAAGGAGTATTCAACGTCAAAATAATCGTGCCTGTTGCCATACAACACGCAATCGTGCCAAAAGCAAGTGGAGAACACATTTGGTGCTCTTAGGGCACTTATAAGAGTAGAGCCCCCTTTTCTTGCCCCAAAAGACAAAAGACAGGTGCCATGATCTTCTTGCTGAAATTGTCTATTTTGCTTTCACTTTAATTGCAATGATGTGTGTTGCCAATCCACTGACTGCTTCTTGGACTCAAAAGTGATATGAGACATCCAATTCTTATCTCCTATAATGATGTGATCCAAACTGACAGCTTCCTCCTCGTTGTATCAAATCAGAAACAATAAAGTACACCCAATTTTTTTTGTTTTATGATCATCAGATAGCAGTCTTGGAACCCACCAACAACACAAATTTTGATAATTTAGTTTCTCTGAAAGAATTGACCTTGAAACCTGTGGAAAATCAGTTGATAACTTTGAAATTATGAATCATTGGGCTTCTCAAATTGTGTTGTATGCATCATGAACCATATCTGTATAAATCAGAGAAGGTTGGCCAAGATGTGGCTCATCAGGCACATTAATTCAGCTGTCCTGAAACATTCTCGCCGTCCTTTGAACTTTGGTTTATCACCATAAGCTCCCCAAATCTGATGGTGAATTACAGATCTTGTGTCTCATTGAGCAGGCAGCTCAGTATTCTTAAATATCATAAATTTCTACAGCTGAGCATACAAACAGACGATACAGCTGCACATGGCATCTAAATGCATGCAAAGCATACTGGAGGCAGATGTATATACACACCGAGACAATTACACACCATTCTCACTCTCATTCACAAATAGACCTTACTTAAAAAATAACCTACACAATAAACAGTAGTTTGTAACACTTATGTATATCCATACAGAAGGGCAAACTTGTGTATGTGATATATGTAATAAGTAGTTAGCGAAACGTAGTCGTATTTCATATGAGAAAGAGTCTCATGAATGTAATGTGTGTTTAAAGTCGTTCATTGAAATCAGCATCTAGAGCAACACAGTTTATGAAAGTTTATATGTGATATCAGCAATAAGTTCACTTAAAAAACATGTACTTTATGAGTACATTTGCATATTCATGCAAAAACTGTATCTAATATGATGTGTAAATACTCATTTAGAGAAAAGGGGTATATTGTTTCTCACCCAAACCACCTGGACTCTTTTTTTTTTTTTTTCTAAATATATAGGGAGTTATTTCTACAAAAATCTTATAAGCTTGTGCCTATTCATATTTTAGTATAAAGTTCTTATGTATAATAAATGTAAAATTGAATATAAAGTGTGCATTAGATTTACATGCTGATATCCATGAAACTGAAATCTTATGCATGAATAGTATAACATATTCTTAAAAAATATATTACATTTACTCAAAAATGAGGCACATCTACATTTCAGGATAAATATTAAGCAATAAAAATATAGGTTATCAAAGGCGTAGCAAGAGTTTTCAGCACCTGGGGACAACTAAAGATTTTGCACCCCCTTTCTGTGTTCCAAGAATGGAAAACATTTCATTCCAAAATTTGTTGCATCAGTTTGCCGCATCCTGGATGCTGCACCCAGGGGCAGATGTTCCTCATTCCCCCACTCTAGCTATGCCATTGTATATCTAATTTCACAGTTTTAATGATGGCAAATGCCACTGTGATCTATTTATTAGAATGAAAAATAAGCTATCTAATTAAATATAATATTTTACTGTGGTATAGAAGAAAAAATTAGAAAAAATGATACACTGTACCATTACATTTTCTGGCATGTCAATCGCCATGATAATAAATGCAGGCCTAAATTGAAATTGCTTACTTAGACATGGCATTTATAACTAGCTGTACTTATATGTAGTTTATATATAAATTACCTTGTGAATTATTTAGTATTTAAACAACATAATTATTCTGTGTAATACGATAAACACATTATTCTTGTTTTTTAATTTCATTTGTCATAATATCCATTTATAAGACCCAATTAAATTTTGAAACAAAAATATTACAAAATTTTTTTAAAAAGTCTGAAAGCTTTCAGATTTTATATTACGCCCAAAATACAGTCTTGCGCGCCATATATGTGTATTGCCACTTCTCGCTTTGAAAATGTTGAGTTTCTTAATCAAAACTTCGTTAAAGTTTAAAAACTATGAAATAGATCTAAAATAAATTTGAAATGAAAGATTTGGGCTTTTGAGTGCCCATATTCGGGTGGAGGACTGCGTTATTCAAAATTTGATGGTTCTAGGTATCTTAGTTTCTTTTACAGTATGAGAAACATATGTACTTTCATGCAGTTTCTTCATTATTTAATT